AAAATCACATAAAGCCATATTATAACATCGATTGAGATAAAGAATAAAATGAAATATTAAAATCACGACGTATCTCACTGCATTACGCGAGTACGCTTCTAGTATATATATAATTATAAACAGAAGAAGATGGTCAACATCAAAAAGAAAGACCGAATGGGTAAAGTACTGTTTATTAATGCATATTACTTAGAACTCAATATTGCAAGTAGATTGTGCGTAAGTACAACTTATTAAAGCTTCATATCTAAATTCGTGTAACTAAATGCAGATAAACATAATCAAATACAAGATAATCATCTCATTTTAAATATAAAAAATCTAAAAATATGATTAGGATAATCATTGAGTTCTATTAGAATACTTAATTATCATCTCTATAAAAAATTTATGATATCTTCAAATTTATATTTTATTCAAAAATAAAATTATTGTTTCTTTATTAAAAACACATAAAATCGTATTATAACATCGACAGAGACAAATAATAATTTAGAACATTAAAATCGAGATGTGTCTCGATGCATTGCGTGGGTACCCAAATTTATATATATAAGGGTCCATTCAAGGGAGAACTGATTAGTTTGTGGTAACTGTGAGATCCAATCTCAACCACAAATCAACGAATAAATTAGGAAATTAATAATTATGGTAGTTTGAGTTAAAATTATAATTAGAGGGTCTTTTTAGCTATTTTTAAATAACTCCTCTCTCATCTCTCCGACCTCCAATCTCTAGCCTCCGGTGAACATTAATTCGGCAAGTACCAAGTAATCACAAAGATACACAATGTGATACACATTGTGATATACTGTGATACCATTGTAATACCAACTATGATACCAACTCAAACCTTAAAAACAAAGATACACAATGTGATACCCATTGTAATACNACTGTGATACCATTGTAATACCAACTATGATACCAACTCAAACCTTAAAAACAAAGATACACAATGTGATACCCATTGTAATACACATGTGATACTCATTGTGATATACTGTGATACTGATTTTACCGGAGGCCGGAGATTGGAGGTTGGAGAGATGAAAGAGGATAGAGGAGTTTTTAAAAATACCTAATATGCTCTCTAATTATAATTTTAACTCAAACAACCATAATTATTAATTTCCTAATTTATCCGTTGATTTGTGGTTGAGATTGGACCTCACAGTTACCACAAACTAATCAGTTCTCATTTGATTAGGCACATATATATATATATATATATTTATTTATATTTATATATTATAAACCTGAATATTCAATCTGTTATACGAGCCGATTAATCACAGGACGACCACCCATTTCACGGGTAGCCCGGAGTCATCGCATTTGGGTCTCAATGGCCACAGGGGGATTCTTTTTTCTCTTTTGGATCCAAACTTAGGATCTCTAGACACTTTTGACCATCGGAATCAAAGTTCAAACCAATAAAACACCACCCTTGTGGTTATATTTAGGGTTTAAATTGATGTTGTTATATTCTTATAGCTGCTTTTTATTTATTAAGTTTTTATGTTAAGCAACGTAGAGAGGTTAAAATGAATTTTTTATAAACGAAAAGTAAAAATCCAACCAATAATTACATTTTGAGTAACCAAGTTCCTGAACTTTTTTAAACAAATAAATTCTTCAAACTTTTTTAAATCAAATAAATAAATCATCATACTTTTTAAAACCAAAAAAACTCAACAAATTTTCGTATTTTGAATGATCATGTCTCTAGACATTTTTTTAACCAAATCATTACATTTATAGAATAAAAGTAATATATCATTTTTCAATCAATATATCCAAAACAATAACAAAATACAAGAAAAAAAAAATTAAATACCATTTTCATTCTTTATTATATATTCTCTGGATTCAATTGAGAGTATTAAAGAAAACCTAATAATTATTTATTTTTCACATTCAAATAACAACCACTGTATCATAATAAAACACATGTTATTGTCATTTAAATCTAAAAAATAAATAAACTAATGAAAATGGTGTAGTTTTTTCGTTTTATTGGTTTGTTGTATTATACTTTTCTACTCATTTGTTGATGCATGGAAAAGAAAAATGGTAAATTTCTTCGTTAGGTTTTTTTCCAATTTTAGTAAGTTCAATGATTTACTTGTTTGCTTTTTGAAAATTTAAGAATTTATTTGTTTGATTTTAAAGAAAATAAAAATTTATTTGTTTAAAAAAAAGTTTAAGAACTTAATCTAATGATAGTTCGTTTTGAACTTTTCCTTTTTTATATAACTATTAATAGAACAGGTTTTATACTAAAATGTTAGAATTACAAAAATTAGTATATAGCAAGCTACATAAACAAAAAGAACAAAAACTTCCGAAATATTCGAAACAATTTGATTCTTTATATATGTTGCACGTATTTTACTTGTCGTGATTGTGGTTTATTCATTTGATTCCGATCTATATTTGTATGAGTTCTTGAATCAAATACTTTTGATCAAGTGGGTGCCTCGGCTAGCAGGGTTAGTGCTTAGGCGCATGGTTTTAAAAATCGTTTGTGGCTTACGCCTCAAGGCGAGGCAGCCCAAAACCGCACCTGAGAGGGCGTCTCTTGGACCTTGGACGAGGCTTACGCTTTGGTTCTCGAGACGTACACCTCAGATAATCTGCTTTGGTAATGATTTTTTGGCTTTTATTTTAAAAAAGCTAAAAAACGGCCCCAATGTCACAATGTTTACCATTAACATTATAAAACCCAAAAAACTACTACTTTCTACTCTCAATCAAAAAGTGTGGTTTGACCCTTCCCCTTCCTTAAAGCAACCAATTTTTCCACACCTTCTCGACCTATCTCATGGTTTCACCATTTCCTCTATCAAGAACCCCTGAACCAACTCCTTTAGTAATTTACTATTATATATATGTATATACTATGTATCAGGTTTTGTTCCACTGAGAATGGAAGTTATGGTGAGAAGGGTAAGAAGAGATCTTCCACTTTTGGATCAATCCTAATTGAAGATCAACAATAATGATATGCATTGGGTCAATTCCCGTGTCAACATAATTCATGGGGTGGAATGAGATTAAAAATGATCAAGCGTTCAGATCCCTTCTTATACTTCTCATCTTAACTCCTATTCTCACACGATCCTTCGTCTTGCATATAAAGGTATATATATTTGTATAGCATATATATTTCCGCCTCTAGGCTTACGTCTCACCTGGTTGAGGGAAAACGCCTCAAGGCGCGATTCCGCCTTTTGAAACTTTGCCTAGGCGGCCCGGGATGGTGCCTAGTCAGCATGGCGTTTCAAATCATAAGCTTGAAGTTTAGGCAAACTATGGGGGAAAAACCCTAATGTAATACCAAAAGCAACAGAAATTCATAGTCATACAGGCAGAAAAAAAGCTAGAAACAGCATTAAGAAGCAAAAGGAAATGGCATACCATGAGAAAAAAAATGCTGGATGGAAGCATCGCCTTTTTTATTTAGCCAATCGAGAAATAATGAGAAGCTTAGGAACGTTGTAGGAGCAAATCGATCTCTGGACACAAGAAATCACACACGGTGTGATGATTTGTCATCAGAACTCGGTTGGAGGCTTCAACCTTATCAGCCTTTTGATTCTATCCTTATCTGTGTTCTCCAACAAGCCCTGCATAATCAGTTGATGACATTAGTAAAAGAAGTTTGAATAATCCAATCATTTTGCCCAATTTCCTACATCTGTTCTTCATTATTGTGGGCCCCATATCATCGTTATGCTTTAGATCGTATAAATGGGACCCGCAGAATTAAAACGGAGGACAAAACAATAGAATGTGTTATCATCGTTAAGCCATTTCTTTCTAAACCATTCATTTTGCTACTTTCCTCTAATTTCATTTGTGTGCTGCCCATATCGCCATTTTATGCTTATATGACCAGAATGAGACCAATATGATGGAAAAGGCGGTTGGGAAAATAAAATGGATGCGTACTATCTCCGTTTATGCAAAGACAAATTTTCATCCATTCATTTTGCTAGTTTTGCTCTATCTATATCTGAATAATACAAAGGGACCCACAAAATTGAGGGCAAAACGAGCAAATAGGCATTACCACCATCAATGCAAGACTCAAGTTTTTATCCATTTGTTTTTCCCCATTTCCCTCCATTTATCATCATCGTTTTGTGGGTATCATATGACTATTTATGCTTGGTCCTTGCAATTTAGAATAATAGAAATGACACCTACATTGTGGAAGTGGAGAATGCAGAATSGACAGACAAATGGATATGCAATACAAAATTATGCAACGTGTACATCTAGGGTGCATTTGATACACTGGACAGGGATTGGACAGAACAGGACAGGGATCCATGTCCCATGTTTGGCATGAATTTTATGTGAAACAGACAAGAACAGAGTGGAACAGGCCTGTTCCACCCCTACCACATGGAACAAGGTGGAACAGACTTATATTTTACCAATATAACCTCAAAATAGAACTTAATTCTCTTCTAAAACATCAAATAGGTTTCTTTTTTTAACATTTTATTCATTCTTTAAATTTTATTTATCGTATTTTAAGTTTCTTAAACTTTCATTTTACTGTCCTCAAAATATTATTTTTATAAGGTTTCTATATTTTTATTAATTTATGTAATTTATTATATATTAATAATAAAAAATAATGTAGAAAAGAGATATAAATAAAAATAGAAAACTACATAAACTTTTTATTTGGTGTCATTTTAATTGTTTTGACGAAAACTTCAAATGAYATATTTTGTTATAAAAAATAATTATTCTATTATAATTTAATAAATTACATAAATTAATTAAAATGAACAACTCATCAAGGGTAAATTGGTCATTTTACTTGTTCTGTTCTGTCCAATTTTATCTTACCAAACGTTGAACAGTTGTTCTGTCCCGCCCTATTTGGACACCAAACACATGGAATGGGCTCATAGGTGCAGCCTTGGATTGTAGATCAAACCAAACCAAACGAGGCTATCCCACCCGGAGGTGGGGTTCGCCCTAACCCGGGGGGTGGGGTTCGCCCTAACCCGGGGGGTGGGGTGGGGTGTTAAGATGTAGTGGTGTAGGCAGACATAACCTGTAGCTAAAGAGTTGAGCGGCTGCTTAAATCAGGATCAGGACTCAATGATCAGGTAAAARAATGAATGCCCTTCATTAAAAATGCATGTGCAAATGAACATGAACCCACAAGGCAGGGATTTGCAAGGAAGCCATGTTTAGTTGACTATATCAAAACTAGTTTTCTTACAAAAGGGAAGAGCTCATAAATAACCAATATTTAATCTGAAAGACATATATCGACAGGGCTAAACAAAATATTCAATGCGTGGTGACCTACTCCTATCCCCAAAAACAAATGAAATGAATTCCTTTAGGCAAAATTTGAAGTCAAAATTACTTTTTGTCAATTAATAATTCATTACAAAACATAGATAGCACTCATTCAAGTTTATAGGATCCTTTTTTGGCAACCGTGGATGTCCTGGCCTGTTTGCGCACACCTCGACTAATCCCATGGGGTCCTAAAGATAACAGTCAGAAAAATTCCGAGTGGACCTGGTGACCTATGGGGTGGATCCCCAAAGCCTAGCCTTTATTTGACCGTTGAGCTGGCACTCAAGGTTGGTTTATACGATCCTTGTTGTCACTATTGGTGGGAGTGTTAGATATATGACCGAGAGYCCAGGAGTTCAACACTTAACCTATGTGCCTAGTCAAGAGTTGCATTTATTTTAGGATGGAGGGGTAATAGGTAACCAAGTAATATTGGCCATTTCAATTGTAAATGGAAGTTGGTCAAGTCGGGCTGTGTGTAATATAGGGGTCRAAATATGTTCACTACTCCAAAGTATGTTTAATTTGGTTATTGTACACAGCATTTCAGAGTGAGTTGAAGAATATAAGCTAAAGGAGGGGAGCTCACCTTCCATACAATCTCATCAAGGCACAAGCATATCCTACCATACTTGTCCAAGAAAAGGCGCTCTGTTGGAGGCTTCCCACATACATCCTTTATGGCCGAGGTAACAACAAACATTGCTTCCGACACTTCAGGAAAAAAGAAGGGAATATTAACAACTAGAAGATCGAATAAATACTTTAATAACAAAACTTGTGAAGCATTATACTCATCATGGGGATGGGGAAAAGAGAGACAATATTGATGCTATATTCCACAAAAAGTGTAATGTATGACTTGACAGATAGTTTAAGTAAAATGTTGACTGCCTTTTGAAATATCTAAAATAACCTTAACAAATAAAGGAATCTCGTGAACCTAATTCAATATCATATTTGTAACAAAAAAGATTCTAGGCAAATAAGTAATGTTAATTTGGAATCCTTCTAAAAAAGGACAATGCAACTCTCATGGACAACCAAAAAAGAAAGTGTTTCAATTTTCATCGGATGGTTGGAGTAACGAAAATCAAGATATGCTTACAAGCAAGTTCATCATACTCATCCTTGCCAACAAGATAGATGCTGACATGTCCAAGCATTGTGTAGACGATATATACAGACCTGAACAAGTAATGATGAATCAAAGATAGAACCAACACATACTATATATGTAAATATGAAACAATACAAATAGAAGTCATCCCATATAATAAACCACTTTATCTTCAATACATGAATACATGTTTAGTTCACAAGAGATTTTCTATATATGCCTTGCTCTTGATTCGATAGTACATCTTCACAAGTTCCATCTAAGGCAGTGCACAGTTGCAAAACAGAAAATTGACAGGATCAATATAATTGGTGCTCTCATTTTGAAATTACTAATTTACTATACTACCCCACTCACTCCAATAAGCATGTAGGGATAAATCATATTTCAACTAATGGTCCATTAGTGGGAGGACTACATATGTACCCTTTGACATTTTCAAACCAACTTTGAGTTCATATAAAGTTCTACAAGATTCAATTCAATAATGCACTACTTACTCATTGAAGGAAGCTATGAGGATATTATCTATTTACAAGGTGTGGACTAAGGTCAGTTCGGTAATTGGGGGCAAGGAGGACCATAGTGCATGTATTTCATGCTTAGGCATTTTAGTGGAGATGGGGGCGTCAGGCATGTTAGAAGCATTCAAGAGTGGTGGATCTCCAAATAGTAAAATTGTAAGTCTTGCACATTTGAATGCACGGGCTCATTTGTTAACAAATGYTCTACTAAAATCTTTCTACTTGGCAGGCTCATTTAGCGAGCTTTGCACTATGATGATGAATCGGCATGAACTATCTACACACAGAAGCATATCATTTCCACAATTGACAGTCCAAGAAGTGATTCTTAGTTTTTTTATGTCTGGACTTTAGTGCTTTATGCATGAGATTCAAGTACATACAAGGGGAAGACTGAAATTTTCATCTTGGTTAAGATTAAATTATTAAAATTGTGCACCGCTGCACCTTGACAATTAAAATCAAAAACTCATTTGTATCATATCACAATATTGTTGCATAGTTCAGCCTTAATTACATAAGACTGTAATTGCACAAGCATAACAGATTTGAAACTGTAAGCTAACCAAGATAAAAAAAGATTGTCAAAACGGAGACAAGGAGAAGAGGAGAGAATATACACATTGAAAAGCGGAAATAGAAGTCATGGTAACTTATAAGATCGATTAAAACAAACAATTACTGGGCTGGATAACTAATGCAAGTCCAGACCATTAGTTAAGCCATGAAAAACAACTACCAAAAATAATTCATTTTAAATCAGTTCTGAAAAATAGCACTGTGTCTTTGAAGTGGGAGACTAATCCATGTCATGCAATAAGCATTCCCACACTGTAGCAAGAAATTGACTACTAGGTCAAAATCAATAGAGTAAGGCACTCATGTTTGTCTGCTCTTGTCTCATACATACCCAAATTGAAACAATACAAGAATATAATAAGCAACTTGGCATACTTGATTACACAGGGAGAAAAAAGGGTTGTCAATGTTAGAGGAAAACAAGGAGTAAAGACATACTTGTGGCATGCAACAAGAAGTTCTTCATTTTTGACACCTTTAAGGTTATCTGCTCCAAGTTTGACCAAGAAAGATCGCCAATGCAGCCGTTCCTCACCCGGGACACCATTGAAACTGCAAAYATTAGACATGAATATGTGATACATAAACTATAAATGGGTTAATTGCTTCAGTAATGTGAGATCATATAGACTAGTTCAAAGCTGTAAAATCTGAGTAGTATATGCAATCTATATTTGGACTTGGAGGAGTTACCTCTAATAGGAGCCTCCAATACTGTGACAGATTATGCCTTACAAAATTGAACAAGTCTTTTGGCTTTTAAGTTGCCAAAAAATAAATGACCTAACAGCTTTTGGATTTTTTAAGACAACTACATCATTTTCCGCTTATCTAATGAATGTCATTGAAAAGTTATTCATATCATATTTTACACAAAAATATTTACTRCATATCCTCTACAAGTCTGATAGGAGTGCAGACAATTTTACTGGGCAAATGGAGTATTGAAATGACCAACTATGAAAGAAATAAACAAACAAAGATAATGGCATGTATTCAAGAGATAGGCTAACTCTCCATTGATGCTCACTCGCTCAAGTTCTCTGATATATGAAAATAAGAATGACTATTACAGTCTCCAGCCTCCCTTTTATAACCAAGAAACTTCCCTCAACTAACTAATTTAGACCCAAGTAGCCAACTAAGTCATTAAACGTCTCTAATTACCTTGGGATTCATTTTTAGCTAACCCAGCTAGCTCAGGATATAAAARCATGTTGCATGCATTATCATCTTTGGACTGCATTCAAGTGATGCTTCTTTGAAAGACCATGGTGGGAAGACGAATAMATATTTCATGAGTTCATTCAAATTTTTGATGTTGAGACCCTTGATCTACACCCACAAAAGATCAAGRGTCTCCTTATTTTTTCTGTTTTGAGCAAAAGGCTCATTTATCAGGAAGTACAATTTAACAAACCCTTGCAAGAACAACCCCTTCTTAACATAATTGTTGGCTACRTAAACTTTGTAGTTTGCTTTAAATCATTAATGTAGAATCTATATTGTRGAGAGTTTCACGGTACCGTTCAACGAGGATATTGCCCTCAGAGTTGGCAATCAGYACAGCCAGCAACATCCTCTTTGCTCTTCTTTCTGCTGCGTTAAGGCCTTATAGTAATAACCTCTTTCCTCCTTTTCTGAAAAAAACATTGATCAAATTTTCAAATTCAATAATCTACAAGCAATGAAGACATATTACTAATTGAGAATACATAGAGACTTCGGTGATTAAACCAAAAATCAATTCAATAGATGTTAAATTGCACTTTGACGTCTTAGAAGATTTACGCCTAGGGAGAGCCTTAAATGTAATTATGTAAATACATGTATTCGTAAATTATATATATAAAAAATATTATATTGATGAAGGGATAACCCAAAAATACATGTAACTACTTTGTAAGAGTGGAACATCAATCTTCACATACTCAACAGTGACCTCAACGTGTTTTCATTTTCTATATCGTATCTATGGTGTCTTCGTCATCAACCTCCAAAATGTATATAGCTACTTTATAAGAGTTGGAAAGCAGGGGTGGCTGGATGAAAGCACAATATTCACAATTGTTAAATACTTATGCTACTGTATGATGTATCAACGTTTCTTTCTAACAAAACTCGTCAATGCTTTAGTCTGCTAAAGCTACAATGTTCCTTTATTATGTCTAAAGACCGTCTCTGATTACTTCAGGGCATTCCAACTTCCAAGGACTTCACATCAATAAATTTTTAAAGGCCTTCAATTTGATCATCAATGCATGTGATATACAATCTGGAGAACAGATGAGTGAATCAAATGCTAAAATATTACTTTGCATTGTCCAAAATAATAGTGTATCTTATCCTAAACAAMAATTCCATCATAGCTATTCATATTGAACACCCAACTAAAACTGAAAAAGATGTGATTTAAAACCCCTAATTTTCTCASAGATTCACAATCACAAATACATGTAGTCATATATAGCGAGAGTTTGRGAGATTACTTACAGTGAGATTAGGGATGTAATCAATCAGTCAAGTGAGAATGAGGCAACAGCGGGACGATCTTCAAAAATCACCAAAATTTACCTTCACAATTACCACAATTGCTTTTTATGGGGAAAAATATGTGAAACTGACGTGCATTCTCTCCTTCACAGTCGCACGCTCTCTCTTTAACAAAGGATAAAAATACTGATTTTAATGTTCACGATAGATTTATCGTGGCAAACTGATAATTGCGTTTGTAAACTATGTTCAAGTCTCTGGAAACACCAAAAATACTGATTTTGGATCTAGAAAGTCAAAATCACATTTGAATCCAAAAAATACTATGGTTGTATCCTAAAATCAAATCCAAAGTTAAAAGAGTTATTAGTGATCATGTTCCTAGCTCCTTCCTTGCTAGATGTCAGATAATAACTGAATATTGTGATCAATAATTTAGCCATACCACGATTATCAAGCAGTAAATCAGTAACAACAGTGTAGATCATATGATTCTTTTAGAAGAAAAAAACGATTAACACGAAAAACTAGGGTTTCGCAGTACCTGAGGCAGTAGAGGTATGAAGATCGACGAGAAAGACCGAACAGAAAGAACTGGAGAGGAATCATACAAAAGCGAAGAATGAAAACAATTTGCAAGAAAAAAGATGTATAAATATATAATTTACCGGACAAATTGCATCAAAAATTAACATTAAATACTACATCACTTCGTCGGTGAATGTTTTATGGTCCAAAATAAGAATTAGGTTAAATATAAATTTGTTTTTTTTATGTAATTTGTTCTAATTTATAATCATATAATGAAAATGCTTTTTTTTTGCAAAGTAGCTGATTAAATAAAAAAGGAGCTAAAAATTACAAAGTGGGCGGCCAAGTAGCGAGATGTAGCAATGAAAAGCAGACCTAACCGATAATCGAATGAAACAAAAAAGAATAAAAATACGTGAAAAAAGCAAACAAACACCAACGATGAACAGACGAATCAACGAGTAACCCAAAAGGAACGAGAGGCTCAACTAGGATTTTGGAGCGGAGCCATAAGCCAACAATCCCAAGGGACAAAGTTGCAACTCACGAGACAATAATCCAAAGTTTCCTGCAAATCATTACATGTAGTTCAAATCAATTCCATGATCTCCTAGAGTCGCTCGAATTAGGAGCCTTCCTCAAAGAGCCCTCCAAACGAAGATGTTGATCTTTGAGGGTAATAGATTATTCCAGCGGGTTTTCGGATGTACGTCGTCTTTGGCAAGAGTTACATCATTAATTTAGAGTATTTAGTTTATTGGCCGAGAACTGTCTATCATTGTCTAGTAGTCACCACCATTTGTCCCAACAATTACGGAAATGATGAACATTTTGCAATAAAAAAAGAGAAGTCCTGAAATTCATTAATGGCCCGGCCCTTGGGAGTTCTAATCCACTCCCATATCCACGACCAACAATCCTCTACCCAACCACCTCAGTTACATAACGTTTGATACGCAGACATGACTGAATAGGACAAGAAAGTAGGACTGAACAAGTCAGGATTGGAAGTGTCTGCTTGGTGTTTGATACGACTAGGACTGGATATGACAGAACTAGATAAGTTGCCCCCAAAAGTTATTTTATGATTTTATATATCATATAATAGTTATGATTAACACAAATAAAGTAAATAACTTATTTTATAAACATTTTTACACAATTTTCATATACATAAATATAAAATAATATCAAATTTGAATGAAATTTTTTATATAATTGTTGGTATTTTGATAAAACCCGACTCATACAAAGGAAAATTTATGTTTTCTTTGGTTTGGAAGATCCTTATCAATTGGTGAAGGCATAGTAAAGGTTGTTGCAACAACAATGTTTTTGGAGGTAGAAACATTGGTAACTGGTGGACGATAGTAGTTTGTGGAGGACGTAAAGATGGTGGATAGTGGTGGTGATGGCGGTCGACAGTGGTGGAGAAGGTATTTGTGGCCAATGTAGTGGAGGTAGGTGTGATGGTGGGGCAGTGGTGGTGGTTATGGTGGAGTTGGTGGTAGCCGACGATACTAGTGGTGGTGGAGATGGATGGTTGTGGTTGTGGAGGACATGAATATGGTAGATAGTGGTAATGGTAGCCGATAGTGGTGGCCAACGGTGGTAGTGGTAGTCGATGGTGGTGGTGGTGGAAAGTGGTAATGGTAGCCGATGATGGAGGTGAGGTGGCCCATGATGGTGGCGATGAACGGTGTTGGTCGGTGGACAATGATGCTTGTGGAGGTGGTGGAGGAGGTTATAGTAGAAGAGAAGCTGGAGGTGGCCAACGATGGTAATTATGGTGGCAATGGACAGTGGTGGTCAATGGACGACGATGGTTGTGGAGGTGGAGGATGAGGTTGTAGTAGAAGAGAAGGTAAAGGTGGCCAACGGTGGTAGTGTTAGTAGCAATGGAGGGTGGTGGTCAGTGAACGACGGTGGTTATGAAGGTGGTGGAGTAGGTTGTTGTAGTAGAAGAGAAGGTGGAGGTGGCCAACGGTGGTAGTGGCTATGGACGGTGGTGGTAGGTGGTCGATGGTGGTTGTGGAAGAGGGGGAGGTCGCCAACGGTGGCTATCGGTGGTAGCGCCTGCCACAACTAGCGTGTGGTGACCACTAAAACAAATATCATACAAGGGTTAGTTAGTAATATTTTAGATTATGTCTCATTATTGTCCCATCTTCTTCCACCTATTTGGGTGGAACAAAGAAAAGCATTTTATGTCTCATGTTGTACCACCTTGTCGCAGTTCTTGTCCCTGTCCCGAAAGTGAGTTCTTGTCTTGTCCCATGTCACGCCAAACATGGACAGTGAGTTTTGTCCCGTCCTGTCTGAAGGGATTTGTAGGAAATGTTAAAACAATATTATCAAAGATAGCAACGGAAGCATAAAATAAACCTACAATGATTTTCACAAAGCTCTCAACAAGGATCTCATGCATTAAAGAACTTAGAAAAATCAAAAAAATACTGTAAAACCCAAAATTTTGGGGAATAGATAATGTATTTTTTTTTTCTATTTTACTTATTTATATATATATGTAGGTATATATATATATATAGGTTAAGTAAAATATTAGAAATTCAAGATAAGTAAAATTCTTTCCTTATTATTGACCAACGGCTGAAGACTCTACCAAGAGGGGGAGCCTGCTGTCGGCAATCGGGAGAGGCAGAAGAGGGCAGGCGGTGTTTGGCCTATAAAGGGAAACTGCGACCTGCATGGTTGCAGGCTGTGGAGAAGACAGTCTCGCAGCCTAAAAATCGGGATTTGGCCGATTTGGTCAACTAATAGGCCAAACCGCTTGAGTATAAATCAGGGGTACTGGTCTAGAGTAGTTATCTTTTTTTTTAAAAGAAGAAGGAATCGTCGAGCTTGAGAGAGGGAGGAACCGGAGTTCAGACCAGGCACGAAACCCCCTGCTTCCCGTCGTTTAGAGGTAATTACTCGACCCAAATTTTATATTGATACAAGGTTTAGCTATGCCATCGGTCCTGTATAGAACCCTAGAAGGCTCGCGTCCAAACTTTGTGTTTTAAGGTTCGATTTCAAGGTTTAGATTTCAAATGGTAAACATACTGTATCACTGTAAAAACCACTTAGAAGATGGTATACAGAAGCTCTGCATGAGAGCTCTGTATCATGTTAGAAGCTCTGCATGAGAGCTCTGTATCATGTTTGAAGCTCTGCATGAGAGCTCTGTATCATGTTAGAAGCTCTGCATGAGAGTTCTGTATCATGCTAGAAGCTCTGCATGAGAGCTCTGTGTCCAGTTATGCTAGTCAGAGGCTCTGCATGAGCTTTATTTTAAGTTGTGAGAACCCTGTGCCAAGTTACGAAGGACATCAGAGCTCTGTATCAAGTTATGAGGCCACGGAGGAGCTTTGACCCTTAAATTTATGTATGTGATTTGGAACCAGAGGCTCTGGTCGCGAGACCAGAGGCTCTGGAAGAAATGGAGACCAGAGGGGCTCTGGCCCTTAATGAAATGATTTTAGTTAAGTAGCAGAAGCTCTGGTCTTAGGCCCAATATGTTCTATCTAGTTAAGAACCAGAGGCTCTGGTCGCGAGACCAGAGGCTCTGGAAGAGATGGAGACCAGAGGGGCTCTGGCCCGTGGTGAATTG